TAAAGGCTTCAAGTTTCAAATATTGAACATAAAACTGTTTAGATTCCAAAGGAAATAACAAAGAGTTAGTTACCTACAAAAAACTGAGATTCTTAATTTTTACATAAAATATCTAAAAACACACATTATACTGTCTTTTGAGTTTTAATGACACTAATAGCTTTATTTAACAAACATCGAGTGACTTATGTGCAAAGCACTATGCTAGGAGCCATGACAGACACAAAGATGAAAAAGACATAGTCCCTGCCCACAAGGAGCGTATAATCTAGTGAGAGAGACAGACAAATACACAGATAATTAGAATACAAGGCAGTAAACAAGAGTGGGCAAGTGCTGAGTGTGGCCTGAGTGTGATACTAACTAGCCTGAAGGTTCCAATTTGAAACACTGATGAAGTAGTGTTGGCTGCTTTGAAAATCCTGTCTCAAGATCAACATAATAGATGTTTAAATGGTCCTACCCAAGCAGCTGGAGGCAAAAGAGTAGGCCAGGTGGAGGGGCTATTTGAAAGCACTGTCATACCCACATACATGGTGCTGATACAAGTATGTAGGTATAGCTAAAAAGAACTTATATATATATATATATCATCTGTCCTTTGGTTAATGGCTATAGCTACAGTTTTAAACAATATACTTTATATAAAAAGGAATTTGTATAATCCCAGAAAAATCAATTTAAGGATTAATATTAATTCAAGAAAGAATCCTGTCATAGGCAATTTTATTTACTAATTGATTAAGTCTTTTCTCTATCTATAAAGCTCTGTAGCAATTAAACAGACATCTAAGTATTGCTGAGTAAAAACCTCTTAGGTTCAGCCTTCTGAAGGAAATGGTCACATACCTGATATAACACTATTCTAATAGCAACAAGAAGGCCTTAAAGAGATTTAAGGAAAATAATTTTTAATGCTTCAATGCAAATGGAATACACGCTGATTAAATACAATTCACTGTTCTTTGAAAATATCTCAATGACAGCGTTTGATACCAGTTAAGGCCAGCAAAATTGAAGTGAGGAAAATATTACATGTACTGTCTTTCATTGGTTTCATGTAACATTGCCTATGACTACTGCAACCCAATCTTTTCTTTGAAAATTCCATTTATTGGTATTGATGAGCTTTGATTTGCTTTTAGCTCATAGGCTAATAATAGCTGCTGACCACTTCCTCTTGGCAGTGCTGTCTGACATAACTGGCAAAGTAGAAGCATATTCCCTGGCTGCTCTTCCTACTTCCTGAATTGGAGGGTTTACTGCTTAGCCTGTTTCCTTCAGTGTGTCACTGTGGTCCTGGGTCCTCTGCTGCTTTCTCTCAAGGAAACGAGCCCGTGCATCTGATATGGATTTGTCATCATTTCTTCTTTGCATTTTCTTTAGGACTTCTTTTGATATTCCATCTGAAAACATTACAAATTAATCCAATAAAACTTAGTTTTGAGATTCCATACTTGAAGTGTTAAAAGAAAGAGATGCTCTGATTTTTCAGTGTTAAGAAAAGAAAAAGAATAGGGCTGGCTGGTTAGCTCAGTTGGTTAGAGCATGGTGTTGTAACACCAGCGTCGAGGGTTCAGATCCCCATACTGCCCAGCTGCCAAAAAAATTAATTAAAAAAAAATTTTTTTTAAAAGAAAGGAAAAAGAATAAAGAGAAATTTAAATTTTGTCCTTTCAAAAGAAATGATGTCATCTATGTACGGTTAAAAAATAAGAACATGGAGGCTAAGTCAGAAAAATTAACCCTAATTCAAGCATGTGGTACAGTGTTATAACACTGAAACAAAACACCCAGTGGCTAATATTTCTAAAAACTCAGATTTCTTGGGTAAAATCTTTGCTATGAGTATTTCCCAGTGGTGTTAAATAAAGATAATACTATACGCTCCATCATTCAGTTTCAAAAAGCTTTACCTAATAGCCTTTTGTACATGTAAACTGATAATTAAGCTTTCTGTCCCAGTTCAGTACCACAACTATGTATGCCTCTCAACGAGACACCTAACATTTCATGGAAAAAGCCCCTTGGAAAAAAGGAAGTTCTGAGGTAGTAATTCACAAAACTTTATAAACTAAAGAAAAATAGTAAAGTACTACTAGGAAGCAATATGGCATAGTGATAAAGAGTAGAACAAATGATTCACTCACCCTTTAGCTGCTTTACATTTTCCTTATTTGTCCATTTCCTTCGTGCATCTTCTCTTACTTCACGTCGAGCCACACTACTCAAATCATGTGCATTAAACTCATGCAACTTGGGTAACAAGTCTCTCACCCATTCGTAACGGATTGGACACACAATTCTTGCGTAGACTTTGGTGGTAACTAATACTTCATGAAAAATGATCCATTCAAGTTTGGTTTCCTGTTCATGAAGCTATTCAAAAGAATTCATTTTGACAGATAACTAAATAACCTATCCTATTACATACCAGACCAATCAAATAATAGCCCAAA